CAGCTCTACTGGGCCTCGGCCCATGCCGCCTCTCCAGGCTGAAGTGTGTCGGGGGCCGGGAGACGGGCTCCTTTGCACCACGTCTCTCAAAGGGAGAAGGACATTTCCGCCCGTCTGGAAAGGAAACTTCTGAAACCTCTCCTGGTGCAGGGGCTTTGGGACAGCAGCGGAAAACTTAAGCCAAAGGCTGCTCCGTGTTTCACAGTAACTGCCTGGGATGTGGCGCATCTCCTGCAAGGAGACTTTTCAGTGGTTGGTGGGTTTTAATTAATCTTCAGAGGAGGAACCCCCCCTCCTGGCACACTGAAGAGCCTTCGGTACCCAGCTACTGTCAAAAGATAACACTTCCTAGTATTACTCCATTGAACCTTCAAACCAGACTAGCATTGGGTCATTTTCACATTGGTCCTGTTTTAGGTTGTGGGACACTATGCATACACTATTAGTAGATTTTGTTGAATTTAGGGAAGAGTTGTCACTGATGGAAGAGTGGCTTTATTTTTATTTCTGTACTTTGAACACTATCCAGTTTTTTTTGTTTTATAGCAATGTAAACAAAAGAAACCTAACTCAGGAATAACAAGTGAGGAGTTAAGGCTAAAGTTGTCTCTGTTTCCAGCTGTTTCGCTACACATCAGTGTTTCCCAGTTCCCATGATAAATTTCTTAATACTGGGTTTCATCCTACTACTTCTAATTATATATTCTTGATTTATTTCTCATATTTAATATGGATGCATGTATTTCACAACATGGTTAGCATTTAGCTCATCCATAATCCAATTCTGTCATGGATACAATCACCCAGTCATTTAGAATGAGGCCCTTAGTGCATGATCTCAATAAAAAAATAATCACGTCTTTACATGCTGCAGCTTTTGTTGATAAAAGTCTACTCGTGGGTGAAACACGGCTGGAAGTCACCATCAAAATGATGTAACCAAAACCAACAATTATCGGCTTTTCATATAAAATAAGTGTGACTACAACTTTCAAAGTTTTACCAGGAGCCCTGTAGTTTCTAAAATCTTAATTTAGAATAACTTTTAAGAACTTGCAATAATGAGTCAAATTATTTTCAAATTTTGTAATAACTTGAATGATTATAGCTGTGTTGTTTTAAATTTAAATGTTTCAGATAACATTTCCAGTAGTGCCCACAATGTGCTAGATGCTGTACAAACTAAAGCTTGTGCCCTAAAGAGCAAAACATGTCATATTATTATATTCTGAATGTAAAGAAAAATTATTATTAGCTTAGGCTACAACATGACCAGCTAAAATTGAGCTAAAAGATGTTATGTTGGATCTATACTAGGAAAAGTCAAGTTTATTTCAGACCTACCTAGCTTATTTTGTGTAAGCCCTACCTAAACTTCATTATTTTTCTTAGTTAAGAAAGACAAAGAATTGGTACTCCACAAAATAGATAAGTGTTCTATTTTGTGCTAGGTCTGGTACATGACTGATGCCATCAATAGCACTTTTCAGCCCCAAGGGGACACTGGCAGGCATGTTTGCACCCACTGCAATGACCAAAATCAAGTATTGTACTAAATAGAGGGTATTTTCTTGTTTCTGGATGATGTCATTTGTTCGGTTTCTGCAGTACTCTAGTACAATGGGGTCTGGTTCATGATTGGGGCTTCTACATGCTGTGGCAATAAAAATAATAAACAGAAAAGCTGCTGAATATGTTGCCACTGTGCACCTTATCTATTGATCTTACAATGACAGAATGATTCAGGAAACTTTGCTGGCCCTGCTAGTTTATCCCCCTGCCCCCCAACCTAATTTCATTCCTCACAATTTGTAAAATAACTCCAAAAGAAAACTCTTTCTGCCCCTACAGCTCCCCCGTGTACTTATTTTTGCCTCCTGTTCTTTTAATATTGTCCCCCCATCTTAGAGGTATATATTCACTACACATACAATTCTTGAAAAAAATCAATTTTAAAACTAGCTGTGTTTGCGTGATGAGTTGCACTCATCAGTTTGGTTGCCATCCCCAGAATGCTTAACTATATGTTGTTATTGCTTGCTTATTTACTATACCTTCATTAAAATTCAGATGTAACTAAGGCCAGGCTAATTTATTCACTAAAGATTATTTTCAGTTTGATAAAGTATTTGAAAATCCAGAACCCAGACAATGTTAGATGCCATGTTTGCATAGCTTTATCCTTTTAAATGTTTCCAGGCCAGAATCTTATCAATTAATACTAATTACATTTGAATTTCTCCTCCCATTTCCTTTCTGTTCCTCACACAGTGACCATGGTTTTATTGTTTTTTTTTTGGGGGGGAGGAGGGGAATTTTTTAGTTCAAAGTTTTTTTCCCCCATGGGTGCAGCTGCCAACCATACATTTTGGGGAAGAGGAAGAAAAAAATTTCGCCTCTTCAATTTACAGTCCTGAAAGGATTTCTGGGTTCACTACATATATTTAAGGATTTATCCCTTTTGCAGATTATACTTATTTTTATATGTTGAAGTGGTAACGGAGTGCATGTGAACATCCAGTCTTTTCTGAGATTATTATATGTGATCACTTATGATTTGAAAACATCAGGATTACTGGGGAAAGAGGAGACATATACTTTGATCTGAAACATTTGATTCTTGATAGAGCTAAAGACAGGATGAGGGACTAGACAAACCATTTGTTTGAGGTATTATGGCAGTTACTACATTCCTATGACCAGTTCCATCCCAAAGCAGAAAGACAAAACAACACTTTATATAAAAGAGGAAGTTACAGTGATGACATAAGGCTTTCACTGTGTTCTCTTACAGATCCACTGTTGGGTCACATCTGGCAACTAAGGTACTTTCTAACTATTTCGGTTTATTGTAAATTTACATAGAATTTTCTTCACTTTTAGCAAGTCATTGTTAGTTAAATTATAAATTTATCATCTCTCTCTATATATATAAAAAAGTTTTTCCTGCCACGCGACAGAATGGCATCATCAGGTTCTCTGGCCGTAAAAGTGGCCAGAGAAAGGGGGGGTTGGTGAGTGTAGCAAGCATGGGGCACAGCCCCGTAGTATGTAAATATTACTCATTTGTGAATAGTTTAATCTGTCTTGGCAGAGTCTGGCATGGATGAATATAGTCATATAATGCATGTGTGAATTTGACTTACAAGCATACATGGTATATTGACTTGCTATTTTCTTCCTTTTGATTATACCTTGTATTTCTGGGAATTATCATTATATAGAGAGTGAGATTCATACTGCGTTGCAGAAGTCTTACAGGTCTTCCACAACTGTACTTGCCAAAGTGTTCTTGATAAACTAGTGAGTTACTTTGAGCTAATTTGTTTATGCTAAATTATACATAATTTTTTTCTTAGCTGGGATGGAAATTCTATGATGCTGATGACTATCATCCTACAGAGAACATACAGAAAATGGCACAAGGAATACCACTAAATGACCAGGTAGCTATACTGTATGTAATCCTAATGGTAAAAAAGTTGTTTACCTTTTTTTAGGCAGTTTTATTTCCAAAATGTAGGGGGGAAAAACACAAGATGTGTCAGTCCCTCCTGCTTCAGGGCCTACTGCTGATTTCGTCCTTACCTTTTATGCTGACCACCACACCCTCCTGGGCTTTCTCCTTGAAGGCTTGCCTCATCCCATTTGCACTGCTTCACTAGGGAAGAAGGGAAGACAAATTCCTCTCTCTTCCTCCTACTGTGCTGATCCCCCTTCCTTATTGAAAGCCCAACTCTTTATAGCTCTGTTGCTGCTCCAGTAGATGGGGAGCACTGGGACTGGGACCTGCTTCATTTAAAGGCCACAAAATCATAAGTGTGTGCATAATTGGTGTTTGATCATAAAAGTGTACATAAATGGTATTTAAAAAACAACCAATAGCCTAGTAGCACTTTAAAGATTAACAAAACATGTAGATGGTATCATGAGCTTTTGTGGGCACAACTCACTTCTTCAGATGACTGGAATATGAGAACAGTGGTATTTGACATGACAAATGAGGGTCATAATCAGACAAAAAAGGAGCAAGGAAGAGGAAAAACAAGAGTGACAATAAGCTCAATTACTGAATAAGGGGAGGCACATTTCTTAATGGCTGTTGTTGGTTCAGGGTGAGAGAAATGTTTCTCCCATCACAGTATTTAATTCAGTCTACCTTTACATTATCCTTTCCCTCTCAGATGAGATGGCAGGAGCTTGTAGGAGAGACTTGAACAGGACAGAAGACATGGCTTGGATAATAATTTGGAGGCAGGCACTCCAGGCAAAAAAGCAATGTGAAAGGAGGCCTGGAAACATGTGAGAGGAGACAAGAAGGTCAATAATTCATCATAAGCAAAGCAAAGGGCTGGTGGTTGCTCCATAGTTGAGCTAGTTAAAGGGAGTTTAAGATGAATATAGCCAGTTTGTTGAACTCCTAGATTCCGTATCAAAGCCTCCTTTATCAATATAGCCACATCTTTCCCATGAGGGTGTAAGGTGTACCAGCTGGAAGGCTGGCAGTAGTTAATGCAGAATTAAGATTACCTGGCTGATTTTGCTATGTAAAGACATTTGTATTTTCTGGGAAAGGTAGTGTTCCTAAATATTTCCCCCATTCCTGTCCTACATGATAAACATTTACAACCTGAGTTAACTCCAGTTTAAAAAGCTCAGTGTTGGTGGTAGTTTAATTGGTTTGGGTCATTCCCCCTCCCCCCCTGCTTTTTTGCCCTTTGGAATTTTATAGCATTTGTCACAGGGAAAGATAAATACTCATCCATGCAAACAAGACACACAACCCAGTGGGAGGTATCTGAGGGAAAAGCAGTATCAGCAAAAATTCACCCTGCCTACACACGCAAACAAAGTATTAGTTACTTACTCACACTCATAAACTATGCATACACAGACTTTTGAGCTCCATTCTGCAAGTTGAGCCATGTGTATGGATACCAGCATCTGTGAAGATTTCTACAGAGTTCATTAAAAATCTGTCGATATGGATCAGCTTGTAGGCCATGAAAGAGTAGTAAACTCCAGATTTAGATGACATAAGGCTTTGTCTACAGTGCACTCTCCCAGTGTCCTGGGTAAACCACCTCCACAAGGGGAGTAACTAACTGTGCTGGGAGTGCTGGTTCCCAGCTCTGTAGCCTGGTTTACTCTGGTGCTTCACAGCACTGTAACTTGTTGCATTCAAGGTGGGAGGGGACATTCAGGGCCATCCTTATCAGTCTCAGGTGGGGTGAGGCTTAGCATACACTGGTCTGATTGGTTCACTGAGGTAGCTCCCCATCTAGTATGCTGGCTTTTGTGGATCACATTGTAAAAGCACTTCTCTCTCCCCACTGGGAATCTAGGTGCCTGATTCAGGCTTTGTGGATTGCAGTTTATTCCTGTGATTTTCTAGTCACCACAATAGTCAGCAGTGCAATGCTTATTTCACTTTGTGGATCCAGGCCATAGTGTATAGCCTATGAAGTCAAATGGTTTTTCCTACATTCCTTCCCTAATACTAATAGACTTCTCAATTGGAAGTTGTGTAGGTATAGCTGGGTCAGTCCCAGGATATTGGAGAGACAAGGGGGTGAGGGAGTAGGGATGTTAAAATATGTTTATTTAGGTAAATGCGTAATCGTTGAAAAATTCAGCAGTTACACGTTTACATGTCGCGGGAGGCTGTGCTGCCACCTCTATATGAGAGACAACAGCATGGGGCATGGGAGTGAAGCAGCTCCCCGGGAGCTGGTGTTCATGGGGAGCCAGCTTACAAGCCAGCCCCCCTGTGAGCACTAATTCCTGCCTCCCCTTCCTCCCATGCTGCTGCCTCTGATACAGAGGCAGCAGTAGGGGGAGGCAAGCCATATCCCCCCGTGTACCAGCCCCCCCCCCCATGCTGCTGTCTCTGGTATAGAGGCAGCAGTGCGGAGGCGAGGGAGGAGTGCCTGTGTGTACCTGTGAAGGTTAACCAATGAGCCTATAAGGGAATAACTTTTATTGGACCAACGTGTGTTGCTGACAAAGATACAAGCTTTCAAGCTTCCTCTGTGGGAAAAAGAGCTCTGTGTGGCTCAAGAGCTTGTTTCTCTCAGGGACAGAAGTTGGTTCAATAAAAAAATATTACCTCACCCACATTGGCTCTCTTGTGAGTTGGAAGTCCATTATCCACCATCTGCTAAAACAACTGCTTTATAAACTCTTATTACACATCTTCCTCCTTAAAACTGTGTTTCCTTGCTCTAATCTGTCCATATACCACAAATAGATCATCAAGCTTAATTTGATAATACTTAGCTTAATTTGACTGCAGTTTCAACATCTAATATTATTGGCATTCTACCATGTACCTTACTTTACACACACCTTACCATATTTTAAAACTCAAATCCACTAAGTAATACACAGAAATCCCTAGTATAGTACTGTGATCATATAATGAACTTAACTGTGTCATCACAAGTATTACATGATAATAATTCACTTTGTATATATATTATTTAAATATACCAATAACTCTGAATGTATTTCTTTTCCAATTTATTTTGTATTACATAGGGGTCAAGGGATAAGCAAATAACAATACTGTTGTTTTCATGATGATAGAATCTTGGAAATAAGCTACTTGGATAATAAAACAATGAAACTACTTCATAATAGTCCATTATTGGCACTACAAACTCTCTCCTTTTGACAGTGCACTGAACAGCTTTCTAGAATGTACATTTATATACATCACGTACTCTTATCTTAATGGTTTCACCTCACTCCATAACTAAAGGTGTGCTTATTTGTGTTCTGGTGTGTCTTATTACACGGTTGAACAAAGACAAGCCAAGACACAAAACATTTCAGCAGCAGAAAAATCAAATATAAGATCTTTGGTATGAGGATTAGTACGTATGAAACAGATAAGAGTGGGAGTTTAGGAAATTACAACTCGGCTCAGCTCTTCAAGGAAATTTATACCTCTTTTGAAACTGCTGCAGGCAGATCTCTTCATGGCTATTTCCAAGGAACAGCCAAAAACTGTTGCCATTATTTTTGCACAAGGCAGAATTGTGATGTTCTTGAAAGGAAGCATGGGGACTAAAAATTGTTTCTAGACACCTTTTTAAAAAAATTGAGTTTTCTTTTGGAGTTTTCCAGCTGAAAGGCCTATATACAGGTCTATAAATTCACTAGACAGATTACTACAACATACTGCACTGATTTACAGTGCCATGCAGGTGGTTTGTAATTGTCCTGCAGTATACCAAGAAATTGTGGAGAGGCCTATTGAAAGCACACTGGCAGGAAAGTGTTTTGCAATGGACGAACTAGCTCCTTCTTTGTTCCCACGCTCTCATTTATTAAACTTGTCCAACATGTATTGGATGGAAAGGTGACACCTGAGCATTCATTTAATACTGAGCAGTCATGGTAGAAGCTGCAGGAATCTAAAATCTTAAACTGGATTACATTAAGAAAGCAGATCAGTCATTTTTATTGTATTTGCCAAGTTCCTTTGAGCCAAGTGTAGTCAGAGGGCATTCCTTAAGTGAGCAAAGGAGTTGCGAAAATGTAGTTATGAGAGAGTTTGCTTGTGATTGTCATAGACATAAATAGGATATAATTAACTTATCTGTGATAACTTAATTCAGGTTTGTTTTAGACTCTTTGGGATAGTTCCTGAGAGCCTTATGTGTACATGTATCTGATTCAAAACATTACACATATATTATGCTGTTAGGAGAGGAAAAGGAGGGGGGATCACAATTCCATCTATTTTAGATATGAAAAGCATTGAGAGAATAGATTTGATGTTTACCTTGTCAAATAAAACAAGAGCTAGTTTTGGTTTTTCAGAAGGTTCATAATATGCTATATCAAACCTAAACCATACATTACTACTATTTACAATTTCCATTGATTCTCCTTTTCCATCATGTATTAAAAGATTCAAAGCACTTCCAGTTTTCAGTGTAGATAAAATCCTTCCCTTCCCCATCCTCCATGCAGTGGTAGAAGTTCTGGTTTAGAAAGGAAGAAGGCAGAAGTTGAAAATCTGTTTGCTTGGTGCAGCATTACATTATTTATAAACTATGTACTAAAGAAAGGAGGGGTCTTCTAGAAGATATGTGCTTAGGGATGTAAAATGTTGATTATTTGGCTAATCGAATAGTCGATGCAATTAGCTGATAAGGGCGCCTCTGCCTTTGAAGTGTAGCAACAGCCCCAGGGCTATTGCGACACTTCAAAAGCGAAAGTGTTGCAGGTAGCACAGGGCCAGTGCGGGACACAAGCAGTTCTAAACTTGCCCTAAACTTGCTTCCCACGGCATTTCAAAGTGGCAGAGCCACATGGAGCCTAGGGTCAGCTGGGGAGTCTCAGTTAAGAAACACCAGAGTGGTCTTTGTGCAAACTTAATTCTTACTCATGCGTCTATCCATTATAATCCCTTCTCTAATAATATGATCACATATAGGGAAGTGAACAACTAGTCGCTCCCCACCCTTGCTGCCTCCATCAGAAAGAGGCAGCAAGGGGGGGAAGAGAACAGGGTGCTTCAAAGTGGCGACACTGCGTGGAGCCCAGGGTCAGCTGGGGACTCCAGCACACAGTGTTTAAAAGTGGCAGTACCATATGGAGCCTGGGGTATGGCCCCAGGCTACACACGGTGCTGCAGCTTTGAAGCACTCCTTCCTCTCCCCCTTCCTCCCCGCTTTCTGCCTCTTTCTGATAAAGGCAGCAAGGCGGGAGGAAGCAACTAGTCAACTAGCCTGTTGACTGTCTGATAAGCATTTGCTTATCGGATAGTCAACTAGTTGTTCACATCCCTATATGTGATCATTGATCGTATCATTAGAGAAGGGATCATAATGCATAGGCACAAGTATAAGCATTTAGTTTACACAAACTATCTCTCTGGTGTTTCTTAACTTTCAGTTGCTCGACTTTTCAACCTATGCACATAGGTTTTTTGTATGTAAAATATAGTATATGTACATATTGACAAGTATAAAGGCATGGATCTATAGCAGAATAGCGTAGAATGAATTTTTAATTTATTCAGTTTTCAGTTAATGGAAAAAAATGTTAAGAATTCATATTAATTTGTGTTAGTGTTTTATTCTGTTGTGCTCTGGTCCTTCATTTTTTTCAAGTAATGGGTTTGTGCAATTTAGATATGCTTTTGTTTTTGTAAATTTAAATGCAAAGTTTTATGTCAGCCTTGAATGTAGAAACAACTATTGATCAGTTTGCTAATGTGACTGTGTGTGTGCTGGGGGGACTGGTCTATTTGCCTCCTTACCACGCCAAAGAAAGATTGAAAGAGATTCACCTATTTTTATATTGCAAGTTAACTGCTACATAGATGTAAGGCAATTTAAAGTGAAACTCCGTAATATGTCCCTTCAGCTAACTTGTTTTGTTTCTAGGACAGGATTCCATGGCTTTGGAAATTACATAATATATTAATGAGGTAAGAGAACCTCTGATGTTCAGAGTGATTGCATCTATAATGTTTATTGGCTAAATACTAAAGCAAAAGGTTTGTTCAGTTGCATTAGTGGGAGTAAGTAATGTCATATTGTAAAAATATTCTGCAGTCAGTAAAACCATTTTGCATTTATTAGTCTGTGAAATGCTTTAGTACTTATAATAACAGTAAGGAAACACCTAAATCAGGGCTACTCAACACGCAGCACGTGGCCCGTTTGTTTGCGGCCTGTGGGGCAGTTTGGGTTTACGTGGGACACAACATGCAACTCGCAGGTAGGATGCTGTGAACATGGCCTCCACTGGGAACAAGCTCCACATCGGTAGGCATTGACAGTGTGAGCATTGAAAGACGCAAGTGGACGTGCTGGCTAGAACAAATGGGTACAGGGTGTCAGCGTTTCTAGCCCCCAGAAAGGAGGTGCTGGGAGTGCCAAGGCATTGTGGGAAGTGCTTTGTATTCATGCCTGTCAGTGTGAAAGAAGCTATTTGCATATATATTTGCATGTATATAGAGCCACGCTTAAGTTGTGGCCCTCTGCATGTGCTATGAGTATCATTGTGGCTTCCAAAGTTGAGTAGCCCTGACCTAAATACTTCTACTTGATAGAATTGTTTGGAGTTCAGAGTACTTTCTCCATTGTCTATGTGAACATATTTACATTTCAAGAATCCAGCTCAGTAATAAGTTTGACAACAGCTCTAGAGGGTATGCTGCATGAATTCAAGGCATATTAGAAAATTTTGCTCCAAGTGACGTCGGAGCCTGTGTTCCTTTGACTTTTGATGAGATTTAGGCTCTTAAGTATCTACGTCACTTTTGAACATATGATGTAGTCTCCTAAGTCACATGTTTAAGAAAGTTTTATCCTTAGTCACTTACCCTAATTGACCAATTGCCATTGAACACTGCTGGATGTGGACTTCCTATCTCAAATATTTAGATCTGTTAGTTTTTTTTATAAAGGGAAAATAATGCAAAAATAATTTCATGGGACACGGAGGAAAGAAAAGTCAAACCTGGAACTTTAAATTTCTGCATTTTAAATTTGCATGTGTTTATTCACAATGGCAATCATCCCCCACAGACAGTCTACTATATATTTTGAAAAGGTTGTTCGTGCAAAATAAAGTCATACTTAGCTATTACCTACAGATACCAGATTTTGCATAAATAATCCTGCCATTTAAATTAGCAGAATGCATTACTTTTTACACCGGAATATGCTGAGTGCAAGGTTTAAATCAGTGTTTCACAATGAGCAAATTGCAGCTAATGGGAGCCGTGAGGGTCCATGCCTGCAGAGCTGGTAAGTAAACAAACCAGAGTGGCCCAGTAGTAGGTCTCTGAGTGGGTCCGCAGACCATTTGAGCAACACTGGTTTAAATAATTATTTTTGTTTTTCATTGGGAAAATGTCATTATTATTATTGATTAGAGTTCATAAAAAAATATTTGCTAACAAAATTAAAGACAAGTCGCCTATTCACCTATCATTTATTCACCTATCATTTTAGTGCAGAGAAAATTTTTACTGTTACAAATCACAAAATAATTCAGATTAGTTATGGAAAGAGTAATGGAAGCTTTTGATTTTATGAGTTTTTGATTCAAATTTACTATGTATGGTAATTATTCAGGGAAATGCATAATCTTTGAAATTGAAATCCTACAAATGTAAAACTTTTTTTAGTTCCCTTAATTAAAAATTCTATTACATGTATTTAATTTCTTGAACTTTCCTATAGGTGTAATGTGTGCAAAATGACTGCCCGGTCAATGACAGGCCTCACTTACATATATTACAGCAACAAGTGGATGATCTTTATCAGTAAAAATTGTCAGAAACAAACTCTCAAGAGCTCTGCTGTGTTCAAAATCTGGATTTGGGTTTTGCAGTAATTTACTCTTCTTTGTTCGTCAATTCTGAATTCAATATATTCTCCATCCTGGTGATTCATTTAAGTACCTGGATGTAACGGATATGGGAAAGAGAAGCTTTGACATTCCACCTATGTGAGGCTTCTCAGAATATCAGGAGGCTGTTGAGTTCCCTAGACTAAGCAAGAAAGGTCAGGGAGTATTATGGAATTCAAAAACAATGAACTTTGAAAGGGTTAGCCCTACCTAAATGAAGATTCAATGACTCTTAAAGCACCTTGCAACTAGCATAGTCCAAATTGTCTGTTTACCTGTGGAATTTAAGTAATAGAAAATGACTTAATAGAGGGCAGTGACATTAGTTTTAGGGATGTTAAGTAGTGATTAATTTGCTAGTCGAGTAGTCGATGGAATTTCCATCAACTACTCAACTAGTCGATAAGCACTTGCGCGTTCCATCTTAGAAATGTACAAGAGCCCCATTGTGCATTCAAAGTTGGAATGCCACGTGGAGCCCAGGGCCAGTGGGAAGTCTCACTGACTTCGGGCTCCACGCGGGCACTTCCGCTTTGAAATGCACAAGAGCCCCAGCTGATCCCAGGCTCCACCTGCATTTCAAAGGGGCAGCGCAGCACGAGCTGATCCCATGCTCCAAGCGGCGCTGCTGCTTTGAAATGCCACAAGGGGCCTGGTGCCAGGTTCCCCACAGCATTCAAAGCAGCAGCGCTGCACAGAGCAGCTAACTCTGGGCTCTGTGCAGCACTGCTGCTTTTAAGTACCCCTTCCTTCCCCCCCTTGCTGCCTCTAACTGATAGAGGTGGAGGGGGGGAGCGACTATTCAATTATTTGATAAGCATTTGACTAGTCAACTAGTCCTTTACATCCCTAATTAGCTTATTACTTTGTATAATGTGTTTGACTGCAGAATATGAGCTTTTTTCCCCTAAACTTTTGCACATCTCAGTCAAACTTATATGTTCACTTGCAGTATTTAATGCCAAAACTAACTGGAAGGCAGGGTATGGGATTTCCAGTGTAACAGGTACCATTGTTGCCTGGTTTCCTGAAGTTTTAAATCTTTGAGAGTTACACAAATGTAATTATGTTAATCTCACTAAACCTAACCATCCAGAACAACTATTAAAAGAATAAGGACACAAATGCAGAGTTTCCATTAATGTTAATAGTAATAATTATGGTTTTCAAAAATTGAAACTGGAATGTATTGTTCACAACTCTAGACCAGTGTTTCTCAACGTGTGATCCGTGAACCACTGCTAGTGGTCCACGGCTGCCCTCCAGGTGGTCCATGGCTTGAGCTCAGCCGCCTTCTCCCCCACAGCAGGGAGTCTGCACTAGGGATGTAATTGTATAGTCGATTAACCAACCATCAGTCGATTAACTGATACACGCATTTCCCTCCCCTTCCCCAGCAGTACATTTTTTAGTGGGCTGGCTAGCAGCACAGCACAGTCCTGTCTTGCGATGTGTCCAGGACCTCCTCACCTGTGGCTCTGTATTTAAAGCCGGGCAGGCAGGTAGCCTGTCTTAGTCCTGGCTCATGCTGTATCTGGGAGCTATCCCCATTGCAGCTCTGCATTCAAAGTGTACTAGGAGCTGAGTGGGTGGGCAGCCTGGCTCAGTTCTGGCTTATTCCGAGTCGGGGAACTCAGACCCCTCCTAGATAGGGGCTGCTGCCATTCTGCGTTGCTGCCTCTTTATCAGAGGCAGCAGCATGGGGCTACAGGCAGCTGATCCATGAGGGGAGCTGGTTTTTAAACTGGCTCCCCTTGAGGACCAGCTCCTGCCTGATACACAGGCAGCAGCATGGAGTGGCAGGGGGCTACTCTAGAGTGGAGTCCAGGCACACTGGCTGCTGGCCCACCCCCGGGGACTATAAAATAGTTGACTAATCAATAATAATTCATGAGGTTATTCGACTAGTCAATCGATATTTAACATCCCTAGTCTGTACTGGCTCTCCAGCCTCACTCTCCCTCCACCACCACGAGCTTAGAGCACCAGCGTCAGCTTCCCACTGGGGGTGGGGAGAGAAAGCCTTGAGCCTCACTGTGCACTCCCCCTTCCCCGGCTGGGGAACAGCAGCGCATGGGCGAGCTGCCTGGAGGCTCTCTCTATTGCTCACATTGGCTAGAATCTGGCCGATGGAAGCAACGGGAGGCCTTGCCTAGGAGCGGCACGGGGAGCCAAGGCAAGTAAGTGCTACCCCACCCCCTCGTGCCCAGCCACCCCCACTCCCAGCTGAGAGCCCGAACCTCCAGCCTGCTTCTGCACCCTTCCCCCGGCCAGACACCCTTCCCCTAGCCTGCTCCTACACCTTCCTCCGCTCCTGCACCCTCCCCGTTTGGACAGCCCACTCCTGTACCCTCCCCCCAGATACCCTCTCTCCAGACCGCTCCAGCACCCTCCCTCCTGGCCATACACTGCCCCTTCCTTTGCTCTTGCCCCTTCTCCCTGGCCAGACACCCTACTTCTAGCCTGCTCCTGCCCCTTACCTCCCATCCAGACCTCGCACCCTTACCCCCTCCTGCACCCTACCTCCCACCCAGATCCTACATACCCATTCTTCTCACTGGCAGCCCTGTTCTACACGTTGAACCCTCCATTTTTGTTCCAACTCCAAAGCCTGGGGGGTTCCACAAAATCCACTAACCCTGGAACCCCAGAAGAGTAAATCTGGCCTATGGGAAGCCCTGAATCTCGGTCCTCCTTGTCTCTTCCCCTTGTTCTGTGGGGCTGGAGCACCAGAGGGGTGAGATGTATCAGTTGGGGGCCACATCAGTGAAGGTTGGTGGATTTTGGAGTTTTTTCTTCTCACTTGTGTGGTCCCCAACTGGTTTTTCTGCGGGTCAGTGGCCCCAGACCCAAAAAAGTTTCCCCATCCCTGCAATTAATAAAACATTGAAACATTTTGTGTTGGACATAAATTAATATACTTTATTTAAAATGAAGTTTGATAAACTAACATGAGAAAGTTAAAACGCTTCATCTGTTTAATAGTTTAAATTAAACCATTCTTCTTAGCAGCACTTGCAAAATGGCTCAGGTGTAATTATGTAATTAACTGAGTTACCATTAGCAACTGGTGATCCGCAGAAAGGTTTGTATTGAGCCAGGTGGGCTACGGGCCAAAAAGTTGGGAGAACCACTGCTCTAGACAGACCCTTTGGCCATGTCTGTACTATGCCATCAATCTAATCTAAGTCACTTCAGCTATGCAATTTGCAAAGCTGAACTCGATATACTTACCGCGGCATCTTGTGCACCGGAAGGTCAGTGCAGGCTGCTCTCTGCTGACTACTTTTCTCATCATAGTAGAGTACCTGTGTCAATGGAAGAGTGCTCAGAGATTAATTGCATCTAAGCAGATGTGATAAATCAACAGCTGGTGGATCGATCCCTGCAGCACCGATCCCCAGCATAATTGAAACAAGCCCTTGAGTCAGTTTGTAAGGGGGGTAGGAGAGTGCTTCATTCATGCTGTCCAACAACCACCCTTCTCAGCTGATGGCTCTCTCATTGAAATCCAATTATGCTTCCACATTTGGGAAGATATTGGCCGTTATGAAGGTTCCAAAAGATGGAGCTGGTAAAGGGACATTGTATGAAACCACATTTTTAAAAAGCAAACACCCTTGCCTGTGTTAGTGATTTGACTTCAGAGTCCCATTAAAATGAGGAAAAAAATCTTTGCACCTCTTCTTTGTGAAGCTGTTTGATTGCTCAACTTACCATCTATTGAGAACAGACAATGTAAGATGAATACACCAAATATAGGCATGATATTAAATTATTGCTATTGAAAATTTCTCCTCTTGATAGAGAAGAATTAGCTGGACAAAGTGTGATTCTAGCGTGTTCAGCTCTGAAGAAAATGTATAGACGCATATTAGTAAGTGGAAGGGATGCTGTGAATTCTCAGAGTGATCATCTAGAGGAACAAGGAGACTCTGCCACTGGGAAAGTCCTTTTCATCTATTTGGATGGACCTATGGAACTCATCGCCAGCCGCCTAGAGAAGCGGAGAGGACATTTTATGGCACGTGAACTACTTCAGTCTCAGTTTGAGACATTGGAGCCTCCGTCAGCACCAGAAAACTTTATCACTGTGAGTCTGGAAAAATCTGTTTCTGAAATAGTGTCTGAAATTGAGAACTCTCTTCAGTTAGAGTAATGCTTTTCTTGAGCAATTTCTGAATTAGATACACATTAATTCTTTTCACCATGTCATCTTTGTGGAACAGCATTTTTGTTTTTTCAAGTTAATCAGCACTATTTGCAGCATTAACTTCACAGTCTTGACACACTTTAAAGGGGCCAGAACAATTATTACTGATACTTTTATTAAGACCTGTTAAAACTTGAAGAAACAATTTTCAAAAGTGCATGGCGTTTGCCTAACTCTTCTTCCATTTAACTCTCAGATGAAACTCCCATTGACTAATAGAAACCGGGATAGGTCAACACCATGTGCTTCTATTTAACTCACAGATGAAACTCCCATTGACTTTAATAGAAACCGGGATAGGTCAACACCATGTGCTTCTGACAATCCCACAGTGGGGGGTTAGACAGAACATGAAAATCTCAACAAATTTAGCATTCACTTTTTTTCCTGTCTAAACACAGGAGTTGCTCCAGTTGTAACTACCTGACATTTAAATGTTGAATGGACACTTGAAACTGGACATCCTTTTAAGAGGAGTCAAAATTCTCTAACAGTTCAGAGGGACAGGATCTTAGTCTGTGGAGTTCAGGACCTAACGCCACTATGAACTCCAGGCCTGACCTGGGATAAGTTATAACTTCTGTGTCCTCATCTAGGAAAATACTTGCCTGCCTCACATGGGAGTTGAGAGACGTCATTGATTCTGACAAACACTGTGAGCTCCCATGGAAAAGAGAGGGCTATGTAACTGCAAAATGTTATTCTATCAAAATCTTGAAAAATAAACTAAGTAGCATTGTGTTGACTGTGATTTAGTCTTTCATATGCAAAATCTACACACTGATGAAATCGGAGTGAGACTGCTTCAGCCAGTAAAGTAAGTTTTATGTACCACTGGGTTCATCAGTTTAGAACTTATGGGTGATCTTTCCCTTCAGGTTGACTGGCAGATAGCTGTTTAATATGACTTTTCTGGCTAGGGATGTTAAAATTAATCAACTAATCAAATCGTTGATGGAATTTCCGTAGACTATTTGATTAGTTGATAAGGGTGCTTCCGCTTTGAAATGTAGGAAGAGCCCACTGGGCTGTTGGGACATTTCTGCCTTTGAAATGTACAAAAGCCCCATTAGGGGTTCTTGTGCATTTCAAAGATTGAAAGGCAGCATGGGCCCTAGAGCCACACTTAATGCAGCGCTTCCGCTCAGAAATGTACAAGAGCCCCAGCAGGAACTCTTGTACATTTCAAAAGTGGAAGGTGGCCACTGCGTCCCTGTCCTCTCCCAGAGCTGGAGGTGGGAGGGAACTGGCTTTTAAACCAGTTTCCCCCCCCCCCCCCCCCCCCCCCCCCCATCCTAACTGGACAGTGGGACCAGCAGTTTGCTAAACTAGTGTGTTGACTGTCGGATAAGCTTATTGGATAGTCAATTAGTTGATTACATCCCTACCAAACTGAATTCCAAATCATAACTTTTTGCCTTAAGAACTCAGAGCAGGTGTGAGGGGAAAAAGTCCTCTAATAGGGGAGAAGCCTCCATCAGGTAAGTGGCTTGCACCTTGCTCTCTACAGACACAGTCTTTGGATTTCAGATACACACAAGCAAATCAGCATATTATCTTCAGCGTCCCTCCCAAACTGAGCCCATGAATTAAGGTTGTTCTAGTCATTTAAAAATGTACACAGTAAAGGCTGCATTTCCAATTAAGAGTATTTAAAATTCAGATGTAACTTCTTAAAAACATGTTTACTTTAATTTGTAATGCTTTATAGATGTTAAAGTGTTTATTAAAGTTAAAACTACAGCCTTAAGTATTCTTAGCAAAGACAAAGGACTACTCATGGATGTGGACAAAACTATTCTCATGAATGTGCTTGTGGGAGAAAGGGCACAGGAGAGCTACATAGTCATTACTCTCAATTGAATGTATTTGGGGCCAGTCTATTAAACAGAAGAAACCCCCTCATTACAAGATATATTTTAAATATGTCTCACATTAATTCCATAATTGGAAATATTTGCATAAAGTCACAATTCACAGAATTTAAATATGGAAGTGTTTGATTTTTGGGGCTACAATATAGGTATCAAAATATGGACTTCACATATTACTTGAAACCTGTTATCTTGCTGAGTTTTAACTTTGTGAGTGATCACAGGATATACTTTTTATGAGATGCTCTACAAGAGAAGTAATATTGTGAAGAACCTTTCTGAGATATTGCAATGTATATATTACCCCCATGAGTACTCTTATCCCAAACTTACCATCTTGATTAATGCAACTCAGTCACTTCTTTTGAAGAAAGGATGGTTGTGTTCAAAGGCATCTTAAGAAAAATTAATCAAACCATTAGCTGGGTTACCAGTTTTAAAAGTGTTTATAGCTTCTTCCAATAGAAATTAAGACTTGCCCTGGTGGTACACCAAGAAATCCCACCACTGTGCCTCCTTGATACAGTGCTATGAATGAGAACTGGGGACAGCAGTGAAACTCCACTATACCAGACAAATAAAAAACTGATAGCTATCTGGTGAGTATTTTCCATGAAAAATGAATGATAAGTCAGAGTGCAAAAGACTGATCCATTTCTGTATTACTCTTGTATAAAATGCACACAAACCTATTTAATCCAAAACCTGTATACAAATGGTTTGAAAATACTGAACTAAAAAAGATTTTCAGATTATTTTGGACATCCTCCTTGTTTCTTATAAGAGAAACAAATTAGAAGTGGACCTCAGTTGTAAGATTATGGTTCAGTGCATCACATTTAAATGGGGGCCAAAATGCAACCCAACACACACACACAAAGTTGAAGGTATTGTTCCAATCTAGACCCTGGTTGATGTCAACACTAAATTCAGGTAAATGGCACCCTCTTGTGGTGATTCCACTAAGTCAAATCTAAATTTAAAAAAAGTTAGTTCTCAATACACATACCCCATGCAGTGCAATAGGTGAAAGGCTTATTTTACCAACTACTGCAGTGTTGAAGTTGTGCTTTGTTTTACCAACTGTGAGTAAGTAAAAGTAAAAATTCAGGGCGCATGTCTCTAACATACTGTGTGGAAAAGAGTTATCAGATCATATAGTGAATGATATAGTCAAAATTAACCCTCAGCCCTTCCCATTCAACAACTGTATTGCAGTGTTTCCTGTAAGTTGTATGCTTGTCCAGTGGCCCAGGAGAGATTCAGATGCTGCCTGGATGATTAGCAGATTGCCCAAGGCTGCTCACAGCCAGCAGGAAGGGTCTCCCCCCACCCTTGGTAAATTACAAACAAACCATGATCCAGACACCAACCGATATATATGTTATCTCCAAGTAAAGTTCATACAATTTGAACTTAATCTTCTGTACTACTTTCACTGAAAGTGAGGCTTTTCAACAGGATTCAGATTTCCCTCTCCTACTTTGTCATTTGACATACTTTAAAAAGACAGCACAAGCCAGTGTGTATTAAAATAGATGAGATGTTAATAGCTCTTGATTCTCCAGTCAAGTCCTCTGAACATACCTATTTTTTAAGTCCACTAATCAAGGTAAGTCCAGAAACAATGATCACTTGAAAATCTTGGTGGGGTGGTTAATATAGGTAATTTGCTATGCCTTCACTAATTCACTCTGAATTTCACCTGAAGGGATGCCTTTTTCACAGACTGAGGAAAATATTTAAATTGAGAGAGACCTTAATCTGAATCTTTGGGAATGGAAAGAAAACCCCTCAGTTGTCTATTTCTAAGATGAACTGTCCCATTCCTTTGTTTTTTTTCTGTTCCTTTTCAAGTTCCAATATATCTGTGAGATAGGACAACCAGAACAGCACACAGTATTTAAGGTGTAGGTGTACCTTCTATTTATATAGTAGCATTTATAATCTTTATTATCCACCCTTTCCTAATGTTGTTCAGTTTTTTTTACTTCCACTGCACATTGAGCAGATATTGTGAGTAAGGTTTTATTGAGCTTTTTCCCCAGCATTGCATCAATTGCAATTGAGCAATTCTCTTATTAGTGCCAAAGTTCAGCTAAAATGTTTACCATTCAGGAAAGGCACAAGTCAGAGCTGCACATTCTCTTTTGGTTTGCTCTAACAGATATTCAAAGTCTATTTTATAACCAATGTAAACATCAATAAATTGTTTATTTCAAAATTATTTTGGTTCATCTTGTTTGGTGAACAACTTTGAATCTATGAACTTTACAGGAAAAGGTAAATTTAACCTATGTATCCCATCACCTTTTAAGGTAAATCACATTTATACTGAATAGCCAATGAAGGGATTTGTTTACATCATTTGATAAAATACAATGCAAAGATAAAAGTACTGTATAAATAATACAAAGTGAATAATCTTCAATTACTAATATTTAAATTTGAAACAGGCTACAGAAGAGACACACCGTCCAAAACTGAGCTGGTTTTCTAAACAGAATGAACAGTCAAGTGTGCTTTTTCATCATCTGTAACATTTTACCTACTTTAATGGTAGTCTTCATACTTTTGATTTCCTTTCCTTCCCCTCTCTTTTATAATCCAAACATTGTTTGTTAATCTCGATAAAAATAAGTCTGTATGATGCTCCAAAATTCTTACTCAAATGCCAAACATCAAGATGTTTCACTTAGTTAAAAAAATCAGTAATTGTGCAAAAACACAAGACTAATTGCTCACAAAGAATTTTTAATTCATTTATTACCTGTGCACAAGAGAAATAGCTACCAATAAAACCTCAGAAGATATACAGTATTTTTACATGGTGGTTAAAAGTAATTAGAATATCACATGACACTGTCAGTGAAAGTAATTCTTCCAATTACAAATCATAATGCATGTTAGAATCTCAATGAGAAGCCAAAAAGCCTTAGAAGCAGTATCAGAGCATAACAATAGTGCTCCTTCTATCTGCACAAAGATTAAGATAATTTACAGTCAATCCTTGTGAATACTGAGACAATATTACAATGCAGGTTTCTGTACAGTTAGATGTACATTTAGAGATAATTAGATCAATAATTATGGAATATTTTCAATGAACTTTCCTAAGCTCTTTTGCTGAGAGATGTTTACCAAAAATCTGATGTTTCTGCACAAGGAAATGTGTCAGTTTTATTTGTTCTGGCATTTTTTGTTATATATATTTGTTCTATTACAATGTGTAAGTTCCTAGATGCAAGATGTTTCCAATGTGTATATGGTGTGTATATTTTATACAAATAAAATAAAAGATGATAGATTAAATCAACTGGTATAAATCTTACAGCATTTTACTAGCAAAAAATACATGCTGAAGTCACAAAAAGCAGTTTTGATACCCACAAATCATAGCTTTAATTTGTTTTTTTTAATAGTTTGTATTCTACATAAATTACTACCCAAAGCTAATGTTTAAGTAGTAAATTGGACAATTGCAGGCCAGACAAACCTGTTCATTCAACTGTGAAGGATAATAGTTGTTTAAAAAAAAAAAATCACAATTAATGCAGAACAAAGAAGTGTTTGATGCATGCAACAACTGAGTGAAAAAAGCATTGATTCCCACTGTTCAAAGAAAACTACTGCACTCCACCTTAAAATGCATCAGACTGGCTTGTTATTTGTTATTAACAAGACAATCCCAAGAGTCAGACTGAAATAAAGCAGGTATTTTAAAGATTTCAGAGCTGTTATCAAAAATAAATTACATTTTTCAAGTTAAAGAAATGTTGCTATGATGGCTGGGAGCCCAGTAGCCTCTCAATAGCTGCATTGATATCTCCTCCAGTTGCTATTAGAGCTTGTAAGTTTGCTTCACGATTCAAGAAGCCCATTGCACTGAGCTGCTCCAGTTGTTGCTGAAATCTGACTTCTGGATTTTGCAACTGCTAAAAAGAGAACAATTTATTTCAAGCTTAATACAAATACAGTGAACAAATTGTACTAGATGATTAAAATACAGTTGAATCTGTTCCATACTTTGCCTTGGCCTATTAGTTCTGCAACTAAAGTTTCCTTTCAGTCTCCAAAACCAAATAGCAAAATTGGAATAAATGAACAACTGCATCTTTCTCTGAGCATATTTTGGTGACTGGTTTAAGAATAGAAGAGATGCTGCATGTCTGATGTGATGTAAGGGAGCAAAGCAAGATCATGTGAAAGTAAGAATTATTTCCTTAAAATAATTCCTTAAGTGTCATTCCTAGAGTGTTCTAACTGAAACAAAATGTTAAATTCAATGATACTAGTATACTTACTTGGGAGATTTTTTGATTAAAAAAATGTATTGTTGGCAATGGTGTTACTCAATGTGATGGCACATTCCTGTTATTGGCATATCACTTTTTTAATTTCTAAAGGCTTTAAAAAGAAATATTTGAAGTTTGCAAAATCTTTTACATCAGCCACAACATCTAAATGGAGAACTGAACAGCTGTGCTTTTATGGTCTGATCCTACTCCCACACAATCAGTAGCAGAACTCTGACTAACTTTGATGGTACAGAACTGTACAAACATCTGATGGTTAGAAGCCGCCTTTGAAACCATTTTAATTATACGTGACAAAATTATTTAAAATACCTATAGTAAACAAAAAGGCTAAAGAAATTACACTTCTTGCTGTTTCCAGATGTTGTCATTCCAAGAATTCTTTAACTCCAGTTTTGGTAGGTAAGCAACAAAGGAGAAACTGTTTTTCAAATACTTGGTTTTTAAACAAGTGAAGATTGTTACAAGAATTAGTGATCAAGCCATAGAAATGCAAAAAAACCCTTTTTTTGTTCTTCATTAAGGCTGCCATTCCACTTGGATTCCAGCTATAAAATCCATGTTCGAATATTACAGCACAGTTTGTATGGCTGTTCTGAACTCTCTACATTGTTTACGCACAAACATTTCTCTTATCCAACATTTTTACCTACTATTTTATTTGCTACTTGGTACTCTGTTTAACAAATTAAGCAAAAACTTTTTCCTCTGATTTCTAGTTTAGTGTCAACATTTGCACAATGTTATTTGTAGTGAGTGTTCTTTGTCCGTATAGACTCTTGATATAGCAACTAGGCTGACAAATATTTTGAAGATAAGATGTTACTGTACAAACAAGAATTAGCAGAAATCTTAGGGGCTAGTCCAGTGCCTGAAACAACTAAACTTGAATTCTGAAACCTAGTTTGTTTCAAGTTTGCAGTAAGAGGCAGAACCCAAATTAAGAACTGTATAGCATTGAGAAGACTAAATTTGCTCTTTGTATTACAGAAACAAGAGACAGGACTATGTAGCACTTACAGGAGACCCTTAACTTGCGATGTGATTGGTTCCAGGGGAAGTGTCACAGGGTGAAGTCGTCATAACTCGAACCCTTATTTACAATAGGCGCCATCGTAAATGCAGGCTGAGGAAGTAAGTTGTGGTTTTTTGGCCCCTTCTGCACTTACAAAAATGATTTGAAGTGCGGGGGGTCGAAACTCAGGCAGTCGCAAGTCAGGGGCCTCCTGTACTGAGGACATTTTGCACACTGTAGGAAACTTCTACCACTATCTCAGTCTTTCAGATCAAGACAATGCAAATGAAACCTACCTAGAATTGAAATAGCTTAAAAAAAAATGACAGGCCAGAGGCAAAAGTGAAAGGCCCAAAATCCACAGCGATTCTACTCATTTCTCTTTACATATGAACTCAAGGGCTAATGGGCACCAGGACAAATATTAAAATTTCATTTTCTCCCAGTATTTATTCTCATATCTAAGAAAGTAACAGTTTTCTAGCCTGATCCTCTCATCCACCCATGGGCCAGCAGTATTAAGCATGTGTGTTTCCCCCTCTCCTCCTCTAGTACTCCTTCCTACTGCCATTTTTAGCCTACATTGATAAATAAAAAATTAGCTACATCCTACAACTTTAAGATGTATCTATCTGCTATCTTACCTGAGCATTTGCACTGGCAAGAGCCTGCAACATTTGCTGAACAAATTGTTGGTGACCAGGTTCAGTGAGTCCTGAGGCTGGACTTGTATTCTCACTGGGGATGGAGCTAGGTACGGTTGTCCCTGTAGGACCTCCAGTGCTTCCTAATCCTCCTACAACAGGATTAAATCTGCAGAGATGAGGAACAACAATGCTAACATTCACTTCTGTATTCAAATTGATCATATTCTGTTATTCCTGCCCTCAACAACTGTCACATTGGAATTCTGTGGATATCAGTGGAAATGTAGAACGTGACTTTAGTGTAAATAAAGTACAAAAGCATCCAAACACAGTAAGATCCCTTATAAACATTAGCATTTTAGCATACACGGAAGGGGAAAAATGCCTAAAATGAAGGGCTAGGTCTAGACTGGCATGATTTTCCGCAAATGCTTTAAACCGAAAAGTTTTCCGTTAAAAGCATTGGCAGAAAAGAGTGTCTAGATTGGCACAGACGCTTTTCCGCAAAAGCACTTTTTGCAGAAAAGCATCCGTACCAATCTAGACGCGCTTTTCCGCAAATAAGCCCCGATCGCCATTTTCACAATCGGGGCTTTTTTGCGCAAAACAAATCTGAGCTGTGTACACTGGCCCTTTTGCGCAAAAGCTTTGCGCAAAAGGACTTTTGCCCGAATGGGAGCAACATAGTATTTCTGCAAGAAGCACTGATTTCAGACAGTAGGAAGTTAGTGTTCTTGCGGAAATTCAAGCGGCCAGTGTAGACAGCTGGCAAGTTTTTCCGCAAAAGCTGCTGCTTTTGTGGAAAAACTTGCCAGTCTAGACGCAGCCAAGGTGTTTAGTAAACTGAAGATAGAGTATGTGTAGAACAATTCGTGCAAGCAGAGAAGCTTCTAAATTGACAGAAGCAAGACAAAAAACTGATAAAGCAAATTTAAAATAAATAAAGATGTGTACAAGTTTGTTGGGGCAGTTCTTACCCTGGTATAAGCCCAGGTGCTTCTGTTGCTAGTGTCTGCAAGCCCTGCTGAATCTGTAACAAAGCTTGCATTGCTCTAGGGTTTGACATTGCTGACAGCGTGTCAGGGTTCTGCATCTAAAAAAGGGAAAATACACATTATGTAGCAAACATTTACCAAGTTAATCTTTATAACTCTTTGTTTTCTGTAGTCAATCTCATCCCCTCAATACCCATCATTGCTCATCTTTTTATTTTATGCCTTAGTCTGCAACCCCTATTGTAATGGTGCCCTCTTCTGCAACAGCAGCTCTACCAAGAGTGGAGACAAGTGACAGAGAAAGCAATATCCTCAAAAAATGCTGCTACATGTAAACCTAGCCCATGCATGTAACTTCTTGGGGGAGTTCAAAGAACTACGATGAGACACAAGAATGATTTTCTAGAACACAGATGAAGAGAATTACCTAGAGAATCCCTAGGAAAAAGCGAATGCAAATTACCCACTTCCAGTGATGCAAAAATCCAGCTTTCTGAGGCTATACCTTTGAGGAGAGGATGATTGTCTCCTGATTACCTGTCACTGGAGGTTAATAGCCTGAGCTACACAGAAACAAGATGGCTTGCCCAGTCTTAGTTCTGAGACAATTATGAACTTGTAGCCAAAGGAAAACCCAGTTGTGAGTTTTGAAGGACACCCATCTACCAGAGCCCAGAGTTTCAGCTGGAGTCATCTCCAGGGTTGATAAAAATTGATTTTAAAATATATATATATATATAGTTTTTAAAAAGTCAGTAATAAAATACATTTTTCATTTTTAAATAAGTTACAATTAAGTCTCATCCCAAATATGCTACACCTACACTTAAGTCTCATAAAAATGAATTAATGGCTCTAGTCTGTCCAGCCTAACAACCGGTTCTTGCTTCTTGAAAGTTCTGGGCTTTCAATTTCTTAGCAGACGAAAAAGCAACATGTGCAAAGAGACACAGGCTGGATAGGATTGTTTTTATGTGGTGATGGACCTTGACCGAGCACGGCAGGAGTTAAGAAATTATCTTAAGACAGAAAGACAATATATAGAAAAGGACGGAGGCAGTATAGAAAGGAACAGTGGACTGAAAAGAACAAGGGAAGACATTATTAAGGAGACACACAGCTTTCTATATTCCTCCACACTTTTGCCACAGAAAAACATTCCTGGCTTCTGGGCTTAAGAGAAACTCTAGCTGGGAATTTTTAGAAGAAATTAGTTCCCTGTGTAAACAAAAGAAAATGTGTCAAGTGTAAGCAATGCAAAAAGATAATGTAGTTGGAAGAATGAATCATCATAAGGAAACCTGCTTATTAGGAGAAAATTATGTGGATGAAGCTATGGGTCTGGCTGAGTGGATCAACTCATTAGTAACCTGAATAACTCCAAAAAATAAGGAGTCCTCTGACATGTTAAAGACTAATAGATTTATCTGGGCATAAACTTTTCTGGGTTAAAACCCCAAGGTATCATTTTTCAAAACTTTCTGTATGCCTTTTAGTGTAAGTGTGATTTGACAAGTAAATTCCCAAGCTGTTTGCTGTGTTGGATGTTGCTAGAAAAAGAATTAGCTTAGCTAATCCTTATGGTTTGTTTAATTAGTTAACTAGGTTTAGAATCTATCACTCAAGTATACAATACAGAAAGCTGCAGTAAGGGAAATCTAGAGTTGCCAGCTGCCACTGTCATTTTCTTTTATATTATATATACATTCCCCTTTTTTGGGAACATCCTGACCACAGACAATAATGGTGATGCTATAAATCTGTATCCTATTTTACTTCAGCATAACTCAGCTTTTCCAAGGGAATGCCATTTTATCTTTGTTGTCCCAAAAAAACAGAAATGCCACTAGTGCAATGGGGCTTACTTACTCCAAAATTAAGTGTACTCTAAGCACAGCTAGTCTTAGCTTTGGTAACTTGATTTAAATCTATGGGATTTTTTTTGGTGATTTAAACCAATCTATCCTGGTGATCTAAGTTTTTAGCATACATTTTGGTTCTTTTATTGTTTTGAAACATTCTCTCTAATGCTTTTACCTTAAAAATAAATGTGCTTCTTTATAAGGAGCTATGTTATAATTTACAGGGCTCAACTAAATGCTGTTTCTACTCGCCTCACACGGTCACTCCGTGTGCCCCATTCATGCGGTCTGGTGCATGCGCAGTGTGGAGCTGGCAAGAAGCTCTCGCCGCAGTTTGTCGAGCCCCAATAATTTATAATAGCAGGTAATATACTGGGCATAGCATCTGGAGAAAAAGAAAATCACAATTTGCTGACTTTTTAAGCAGTCTGGCTTGCTAGGAATATCACAGTGTAAATTAGAGAGCTATGAAGCTGTAACACACCAAGACAGGAGGAAATGAAAGTCGATGGCTGAAGAGCTGGAGCCTAAAATGAGTGACTTTGGTGGATGACAGGGGGAGGAGGAGGAGAAATAACAATGAAGTTGGCCTGAATTATGACAAGCACTGTTTCTCACTAGTCTTCCAGCAAAATGTATCATCTGACATACTTGATCTTCCAAATAGGACTTCTAATAAAATTCAAACTTTGCAAGTGCATACCCACTACTCCTTCTCTGTATTATCTATAATGCCATACCAACACCTTACTGATATACCAGAATGCTACTTATATGATGTATACCAAGGGTGGGGAACTCCTGCCCAGGGATAACATCCAGCCCACGGCAAGACTCTGTACTGCAGATGGTACGTTCTGAGCCTTGGAGTCCCCCCCCCACATACACACTACACTGGATTGGAAACTGTGGCTTGTGGCAAACAGGGAAACTCCACAAGCTGTCCTTGCATGCTGGTGCTGCTCCTGTCATACCCAATGGGATCTGCAGCGAGGCACCTGCAATCAAGGACAGCATGCAGAGCCACCTGCCCTTTAAAAGGCAACAAGGACATGCCAGCTGCTTTCTGGAGCAGCATGGGGCCAGGACAGGCAAGGAGTCTGCCTTAGACCCAATGTGCAACTCACTGGGAGCCACACGAGGGACACGCTCCATGCCCCATCCCACATCCTAAGCCTCTGCCCCAGACCTGAGCCCCTTCTACACCCTAACTCCCTCACAGAGCCCACACCACTGGCCCAGAACCTCTTCCTGCACCCCAGCTCCCTCAAATACCCCTACCCTCTGCCTCAGCCAATAGGTGAGGAGGTGGGGGGAGAAGAGGCAGTGTGGAAGGAATGGGGTATGGAAGAGGGCAGATGGAAAGAAATGAGGGTTGGGAACAGAGAAGAAAGGGGAATAGAGGTATCACGGGGGAAATGGGAGTCCAGCATGAACAGTCTCTCCGCAGCAGCTGGGGCTCTCTGGTTAAGAAGGCCCATTACACCCTCACCCTGACAAGCATTTCCGCCACCATACACCTGGGCACATCTGAAAGTACCGCACACCCAGATTCCCACTGCACAGAGCCCCAGCAAGCTGCACCTGGACTCCCCACCCCATCAAGCCCCACTTCCCCAGCACCTGGACACTCCACCAGGTCCCACTTTTCTCCCAATCCCAGAGTCCCATTGCCCCTACACCCAGAACCCCTGTGCATTCAGATTTCACCACTGAACCATCCATTCCCAGATTCTTGGATGCCCCCACATTAATTCCTCCACACTTGGATCATGCTGGGCTCAGCCTGCCTAGCCAAACCTGGTATGCCCGGCACACAGGAGCAGGGCCTGCCCTTAAGCTGCACCTGATCCTAACACAGTGTAACTGAGTTCCTGTAGTAGGGGACAGTGATGTCCCCACCTCAATGCAGCCAGAGGCCTGTGCTCCTGACTACTAGAAATGTGAAGATCTGGGGTTTCTTGTCAGATTTCCAGTATGACATTGGACCTATAATTTAAGACATGATCTCAAGGGGAGTTTTTCCACTGATTAAAATACAGCGGATAAGGAACTTAATTATCCTGTGTCTCAGTTTTTACAACTGAAAAAAGGGATGATAATAATACTTGCCTGCCTCACAGGAGTAAATTAGTTGGTTTTGGTTAGGTGCTTTGACGTCATCAGATGTAAAGTGCTTAGAAATGCAATTTTACAAAAAAAAAAAAATCCAAAATCTTTCTGCTTCATTCAATTTGGGACTTTATGGGATGACAACAACTCCTACTTTGTGATGCTGAAGCACTCTGCCAGCAAAGGCAGGGTTATCATCACTTTTCAAAGCATTAGGCAAAGAGACAGGTAGGCCAGCCAGCCTTATGCTGTGTGTGCGGTAAATGTGTGCGCTTCAGGGAAGGCTGGATCATTTGTGGCAGCAGGCATCTGATGCTGGCTTGTCTTCAGGGCCAGGGCCAGCTAAGTTGGACTAAGTGGAGCAATAAATCACCAGGAGAAACAGATCTCCCTTCACCTGGTCCACAGTCCTTCAGAGCTTTCCCACAGTTAAGCAATGGCTTGGTCTGGGGCAACTGGATTTTTTTACTTCTTCAAATTCTTGAAAGGGCAGGGAGACCATTTGCTTAGGGAGGGAGATGAGCTTGAGTGATGGGAGCCTACAGAGATGGGTGTACAGGGAAGAGGGATGTGGTGACAAAGAAGAGAGGATGTATTGGTAGGGTAGGTCTTCACTCTTCTCAGTGGATGGGAGGTATATTTGCCTGGTGAAAACAGTATTGGGGAATTGATTCCTTCTCCTCTAGGAATATTGGCTCTGCCACACTGGTACATAAAGCTGGCTTCACCATGCTGCCTCAATGGGACATTTTGCCTTCTTGGTTCTATGAGCTGAACGGTGATTATTGTTGAAGCAGCAGCCGGCCTTTATTGTACTGCCGCAATCCATGTCCATTGGCAGTTATTCATTGTTTGAGGTGCTTACCACTGTTGAAACAAACATAGGAAGCCCTCAACTTGTGTGAAGTGAAAATGAGGTGGCAGCTTTTGCAGTCTGATTACAGTCATTTTCTTCCTGGGGGAAGGGGGAGGGGGCAAATGCCGGCTAAGGCTGAGGCCTGACACCTTGTTTTATTGTGTAAAGAAAGGACAGATTTCTCAATTAACTTTAACTCAGAGATGGGCAATCATTTTTGATGGGGGGCCACTCCAAGGTTTTGGTAAGTGGTCAAGGGCCACACTTT